TTAATTTTTAATATAGAAAAATAATATCATAATCATCCGGTTAAGATCAATCTAAACCAACCCATTATGTATATGGATACGATTCAATATACCAACTATTAAGTAACTGGGTGCATTTTTGCTCACCCACACTAACTATAAGGTATGCTCACAATCCATTCCAATGCTTGTCATGTGTAATCCACACTAACTCTAATTAAACCTTTTTTTATTTTTTATTTTTGCTTTAATTAATAGAAAAGAGAATCCTACTTTTACTCATTTACTTCCATATATATCATTTCTTTTTAAATATTTTATTAAAACTTAAAACTTACCTTTTTGAATACAAAAAGTTTTTCGGCTCTAAGTGATGAACCCTAATTCCAGCCCAATCCCCCCAATTGCTAACCGTGTAATTTTAGCCCTAACCCCCCCCCTAATTTAACCCTGCGCACGCATCTTTTGGGTTTTCCATTTGCTATTTTTGTCCGACTAGAAAAAGGTATGCAACTCCCACATTTATTTGCTTTTTAGGATTATTATAGGATGTCAATATATATGCTTTTCTTTAGGATTATTATAGGGTGTTAAAAATATATGCTTTTTATGATTATTATAGGGTGTCAATATATATGCTTTTTAGGATTATTATAGGGTGTCAATTTAATCCAATGTTAAGTAATTTGATACTTATACAGATGGAACACCAAGATGAAGAGTTTCATACTCCATCTTCTAGTGATGCCAAAGAATCAGTTGATTGTATACACTTAGATTCAGATTCTGAAACCTTTGAAGTCTTGGATCAAAATGAAGAAAAAGGAGAATTTACAAGCAAAGTTGGTGATATTTAGCTAGGGATGACTTTTGATAATGAGGATGATGCATATAATTACTACAATGCATATGGTAGAAGGGTTGGATTTAGCGTGAGAAAGAACAGAGAGAATAAAGACAGGTCAGGTGTGCTAAAGAAAAAACAATTTTGTTGTTCTTGTGAAGGCTTTTATATATATAAAAAAAAAAAGAACTCCAAAGAAGAAAAGAGAAGAAATAAGATGTGGCTGCAAGGCAATGCTTGAAATCAAACTTAATTTAGAAAGGAAGTTTGTTGTGACAAATTTTGTTGCTGAACATAGTCATGTTCTTGTTCTGACATCAAGTTCCCATTTATTGAGGTCACAACGATTAATAGAGCCTTCTCAAGTAAAATTGATAGATCAAATGCATTATGCAGGACTACAGCCATCTCAAATCTTCTCATACTTTAACACAGAAGCAGGAGGGTCTCAAAAACTAAACTTTATTCAGTTTTGATTGTAACAATTTGATAATGAGAAAGCGCATTGGGGTTTTTAAAAAGGGCGACTCATAATGTTTGCTTGAATATTTTAAGAAAAAGCAAACTGAAGACAAGTCATTTTTCTATTCTCTTCAAACAAACAAGGAGAATGAAATATGTGGTTGTTTTTTCTGTGATGGAAATTTGAGGCGCGATTATACTATATTTGGTGATGTTGTGTGTTTTGATACGACATTTAAAACGAATAAATATAATATGGTGTGTGCCCCAATAGTTGGTATCAATAATCATGGTCAAACCATACTTTTCGGATGTGGTTTGCTAGATGGAGAGACAACAGATGCATGTGAGTGGCTGTTCAATGCCTTTTTACAAGCCATGGATGGAAAAGCACCAGGAACCATATTTACAGATCAAGCCCAATCAATTGCTGCTGCGATTAGTGAAGTATTTCCTAATTGCCACCACCGACTTTGTTTGTGGCACATATATCAGAATGCTGCGAGGAACTGGAATCATGTTTTTAGTGAGTTTAAATCATTTACACAGGATTTCAAAAGATGCATATATGATCCAGAGACTGTTGAAGAATTTGAATCAATTTGGAATAAGTTACTTGATGATTATGAATTGAGATGAAATGATTGGCTAGAAGGGATATATCTATTACGTGAGAAATGGGCACAAGTTTATGGTCGAGACCACTTTTGTGCAGGTATTACTCTTGACCAATTCCTATTATATTATTTTGTACATATTATTCACAAGTTTCTTTTTCCACTATACTGTGATCAATTTTTATTTTTTTTTCTTAGGTATGACAACAACACAAAGAATTGAAAGCATGAAGAAACACGTACATACACAATAATGAACTCAGGAAAACGAGGAATTAATAGAACACTTATGTATGACCTTGCAAATCAAACAATATTGTGTAGTTGCAAAAAGTTTGAGTTTGAGGGGATTCTTTGTGCACATGCTCTAAAGTTATACTATGATTTAGACTTGTCAAGTATACCATCCAATTATTATTTGAAAAGATGGAGCAAGGATGCAAAATGTGGTATTGGATTTGATTCTTATGGTGAACTGGCTGAGAGTAATTTAGACTCATCTTCCTTGGTTCAGTATAGCGAGCTATCTAATATAGCACAAAGAATCATAGCAAAAGGTGCAAAAAATAGCCAAAAATGTAGTTTTTTGAAATATGAATTGTTAAAGTTGGAGAAAAAATTGGATAAGCATGCCAATTTTGGAGAACAAGATGATGGAACAAATAATGTAAATTATGTTAAGCATGTGACTGAAGCTGAGAAAAATCTTAAGATCCAAGATCCAAAAATCTTAAGATGCCAAGTCAAAACCAATTCAATATGGCACCCATAAGTCAAGTCACACATTTTCCTTTTGGATTTCCAATTGTTCCTTGTGTTCAAGGGATTCAAAATCCGCCAGTTCAAGGGATTCAAAATCACCAACTTGGATTTCAAGCTATAAGTCTCATGATGTCCAATTACTCATTTATGTATCCTCGGGTTTGTACCTTCATTGAATGTACCCTATATATATATATATAGTGTACTATATTTTTGTTCTCTAGTTTCATAAGTAATTTTTTTCTTTTTATTTATTTGCAGGAAAACATTCAACCAATACCTTTGGGAACCACTCCTCAACTAAAATTTTCAAATCCATCAACATCAAACATTCAACCAATACCTCTGGGAACCACTCTTGAACTGAATTTTTCAAATCCATCAACATCTTAGATCATGTTGTAATAGAATTTAGAGAATTTTTTTTTTTGGAACGACATCCTCTGAAATGGAGAATATTCATCCTACTAGCTTTGTACAATTTTTTTTGATGAGTTTCATCTCAAATAATTGTATTTTGTTGGATATTGATGATGAAGTGAATTGATATAATTCGTATATCCATATAAAGTTAGAATCATATGCAGATCAAGCTCGCATATTTTAATTACCATAAAAATTTGATTAACATATTTTGATTACCATAATCTCCAACTAGTTACAGATCCTATTTATGATAAAAACTCTTTACATGATCATACAATAGTAAAGATCCAAGTCATGGAAGTTTATAGAAAACAACGACTATGAAGGCGTAATCGACATTGGGGTTTTAAGTTTATGTTTATGTTTTTTAAATTGGAATTAGTAGAGTTTCCAAAAAAAAAAAAAAACAAGGAATTAGTTGAGTCTGGAATTAGGGCTAGAATTACACGGTTAGCAATTGGGGGGGGGGGTAGGGCTGGAATTAGGGTTTTCATAATAGGGAGAGATCGTGAAGGAGATAAAGCTTTAAGCTCTAGCAGCTTCAGTTACGTCGGTTCATCACTTAGAGCCGAAAAACTGTTTGTATTCAAAAAGGTAAGTTTTGAGTTTTAATAAAATATTTAAAATGAAATGATATATATGGAAGTAAATGAGTAAAAGTAGGATTCTCTTTTCTATTAATTAAAGCAAAAAAAAAAAAAAAAAAGGTTTAACTAGAGTTAGTGTGGATTACACATGGCAAGCATTGGAATGGGTGATAAGCATACCCTATAGTTAGTGTGGGTGAGCAAAAATGCACCCTTAAGTAACTTATTAGAAACACAAGACAACCAATCAGAATGTCAGGAAATCCCCCGCTTTTGAGGGATGTCCTCAATGACGAGGAACATGTAATAGGGTGTATATATGACTTGTTTAGATCATGGGCTATGACAAAAGAAAGAAAACTATTGATCAAGTATCATTGATCGGTACCAATGAATAGACTAGAATGGAAGAACTCTGTTCAATATCCACAAATACAAAAGATATATCCTTCTATTGTGGTGTCAAATGTATGATTTCATTGGTGCAAATCCAATCAACTTTGTTTTAAATTTAAGATGAGAAACAATTCTCCATTGATGGCAAATTATATTCATTAAGCAAGTGAAATACTATTTTAAATTTATGCCTTACTCTGGCACGATCGAACTAACAAGATCAACTGCTCAGCTTATCTTCATAATTAAATATTGTTACTGGATAAGTAGATCTCATTGTGGAAGACCTAGTACTGAATAAATATGGGTAGCGCCAAAGAGTGTGAATTGTACAAGTTAACAATAACATTAATTACATGAAAGAAAGAAGGGATTTGCTGTATGTAGTGGACCTCACAGTTTTAAGAATTAGCCATAGAAATGTTGAAAGCCACTATATCCATTTATATTATATTTTTCTACTTTCATGTGTTTTTTTTTTATGCCTAATATCAATAAGAGCTTTGGTTTTCGGCTCACCGGGATAGAGGTAGACATAAGAGAGATTTTCATCGGTTACGAATCACAACCAGTAAACTTTCGTTATAGTAAGTTTATACATAATTTGCACAATAGACAATTACTTCTTAATGGTAAAATACTTGCACAAATAGCTATATTAAATAGCTATCCTTATTTGATTTCCAACGAGATCTCATAAAATAAAGAGATGGGAAGAAATCCGTTGTAATAGTTTTAAACAGAGTTACTGTAACAACTTGTCCCGAATAATTTTATGGATTTTAGATTGGAATGGTATTTTGGTAATTTCATTGGGATTGGGCTAGATATCTTGATGGGTTGCTTTCGGTCTTAAATTGTGTGCCTTGTGGGGCCACTTCTTTTGGGTTGTCCCCTAGCCCAACTCTCCTTCCTCCTTTCCATTTCCCGTGAGCTCTCTCTCTCTCCCTCACTCACTTCCCCTCTCTCTGTCTCATTCCTGTCTCCCCATCTCTCGCTGCACGGAATGAAGACCGAGAAAACATCACCACCATTGCCATCTTTCATGGTGAAAAACCACAAAAAAAAAAAAAAAAACAACAACCAGCCATTAAACCCAGAAACTATAGCAAGAGAATCTGAACTCTTTCAATCTCTCTCCCTGCTCACAGCTAAGATGTTGAGCTTCATTCGAATCCGAGAGGATTCTAAAGTGGGCATGACATTTTCGATAATGGTAAGTCACGAATCATCTTTCGATCTTCTTTCCATGTGGTCTTGACTTACTAGTGGTTGAGTAAGAATGGTGTTGGTGAAGGTTTAAACACGGAAACAACTCAGGGTTGTGTTTTCCAGATTTTCCGGTGAAAACGGAAGCTTGCAGGCCGTTTTCTAGCTAACTCCGGCCACCACTCGTCTCAAAATAGTATAATCTTCTTCCTTATTCATTGGGCTTCAATTTGGTATATTGCATGAATATTTTTAATGTAGTTTCGTGGTTGACCGGAGCTTGGGAAGCTCCGGCATTCGTCTCCGTGAAGCTGGTCTGAAAACCGGGTCAAAACTACCCAAATCCGGAACCAAGACCCACTAGCCCAAACCTTTGGGTCGGGCTACCAAGCCCATGAACCCATCCGAACCCAGCCCTAAACCCACTAACCCTTTAAGCCCAAAACAATTGAACCCATGCCCAACCTTGCGGCCCAAAATCAAACCCAGGCCCAAACCCAGAACCCAGGCCGTATGTAGATGCATGTGAGCGTAGGTTTTGATTGGCACGTGGAGCACACATGCCTCCACCACCGTCCACAGCGGCACCGACGATTTTTTGGCAAACTTTCCGACGACCCAAAATGGAGCGTGGCCGTCGGAGCCGCCACCATGTGGCGGTGCGTGGGGGTATCTGGGGTCCTCCTTTATGTTTTCCGACGTCCTGAATCCGTTTGTGACGTCTATTTCTTGAAATTCAATTGTTATAATATAGTTTTATTAATTGGTACCTTTATGTGCTTAGGTGCAATTGTGTATGGCGTTTCCGTCCACCCTTATTTGCACGGCTCTTCGCCAACGGTGTAAGGTGAGTGGACCCCTTCTAAAATGCATATTTTACTATTAGAAATGCATACATGAAAAACATGATTTGTTAATTATGTTTTATGAAACGTTTATGAGTAAATTGAATTTACACTTTATGATATATTATGCTTTATCGACTTTACGTTCTTTGTGGTATATATGATTGATGACTATATACCTACTTATGACATAGTTTTACAATATGACGTTTTGGTTACAAAGCTCTGATTTGAGATATATATACTATATACCTACTTATGACATAGTTTTACAATATGATGTTTTGGTTACAGAGCTCTGATTTGAGATATATATATATTAGAAATATTATGTTAATGTTTTTATGTGCTTACTTAGTGGTTATTCATGCGAATGGGCCTGACTACAGGCGAATGGTACTGCCTACGGGTTTCGGTCTAGTGATGTAGAGGCCTACGGGTTGAATGACCTTTATATATGCCTTTGGGTAGGTGTTGTATGAGCCTACGGGTGATTGATATTTATATATGGCTTCGGTTGGGTGCTATAGGAGCTTACGGGAGAATGAAGTGTTCTACATGCCTTTGAGCGAATGAAGAGTTCTCCTTCGGGCGATACTATTACCACTACTAAGCACATTATATGATATATGTTTTATGGCATACTAAGAGTTTCAGAAAGCTTATTACTTATTATTCTATACAAGTTTTTCTAAACCTGGGGGTTAGTGCGTTAAAATTTAACTGTTTTAGTATTACTTATATATCAACTTGGTCCACTCATATTTTGTTTTGCGCTCCCCTCAGGACTTTGATTCGAGGCGTACAATCCTGGTGTCAAGGCACTCCTATATTGGCATCTTCAAGTGCTCTCGGTGTAGGACCCAACCTATTGTTCATTCAATGTTATATTATTCATTTTTGGTGTCTCGGATTAGTTGTATACTCTGAACAAATTCCTCAATTGCATAAGCATTGTATTTAAATTTATAAGTTTTATTTATGCTCGTTACTTCATATACATATTAGTATGACTTCGTCACCTTCAAGTATCGGTCAACAAGTGCCTACCTCGGGTACTTGGAGGATATTGGGGTCGGGTTTGTCAGTTCCTTAGCGAACGAACTCTATAAAGGTAGAGTAGAAATTAGTATGATTAAATCTAATAAAGCCATCAAAATGAAGGAAGGCGTTAAATATAAAACATTTCTTTTTTTTTTCACTTTTTTCTTACGACAAGACATTTAGGTTTTACAATTTTTTGAAAGAAAAAAAATGCATTTGAGATTAGATTGGAACTTAATTTTGATTCAATTAAAGAGTCAACCTACTTTTTATAGTTTTAAGACTACCAACTCTAGCGGTTGACTAACTTCCTTCAAATTGTTTCTTATTATTAAGAAAATGTAACATAGATAAAACACGAGCTTGTATAATGTTTGTTGTTTTAATGTCAGTCTATTCACCCATCTAGATAATATTTTTCCTTGTTCACTAATAAATCGACTAAATAAACTCATGAATCTATAATCAATTTGATCTCCTGATTGGATCAGAGGCAAAGCCCTACGAAAAGGACAATTGGGCTTAAGAAAAATTCACTTGGATTTATCCATGGTTTGTTCATTCTTTATCTTGAGAATAACAATCCTATTTCTTAATTCTACATCATCTTTGATCTGATCGAAGTAATATTTGGTTTGTTTATATTTAAATAAAATTTTATAAATTACATATACATTGTTATATATACTATGTAATTTTTTTCATCTTTCTTGGAAGATTGACACAAGATCGATTTGTTCAATTTATTTCTTTATCTACCTGAAGCAAGGAAGAATAAAGGACAAAAAGAATATATGCACGTAACTCGAAATTAGATTAAGAAAGAAATATTTTGTTGCAATCAATATTGTAATAAACGACTATATCAAATTTTAATCGAGACTAGTATGTGTAGTTATTACGGTTCTAAAAATCACTAGAAGTAGGCAGGCGGCGAGGAGGGGCCTATAGGTCGATACACTTGATTAAACCATAATTAATCATGGGAAAGACTATTAATTGAAGATTAAGAAATTAATACACAATAGTGGGCACATGGATAACAACACACATAAATAGATGTAATTCAAAATTTCAACCGAGTTGGAAGAAGAAGTACCAATTAGCCAGGATAATGAGACACCCTTTATTATGTGTTATCTAGGCCACCCAAAAGTACTATACTACTATTTATTTAGTATGAATTTGGTGTTTGGTGTTGTCCTTGTTAAATAAGAATCAGATAAATTAATATGGGTTAATTTATTTTATACGACTCACACCCGCTAACTTATAGTTATAGACCCCTAAACCTATGTATAATTAGTTGTGTCGCTAACAAAAACACGCTCGTTCTCAAACCCTCTTTCGCGAATCCTCTTCCAACTGCTTTCGTTTGTCATTGCCTTTGAGACTTTGATAAATAACCAAATCCAAATTGAAGATGCTCATAAATTGCTTGATTCCACAGTTGCAGTGTTGTTAATACAAACTGAAAATGTTGCCGGTTGCCAACACAGTGTTGCTAATTTAAACTGAAGGTGTGCTGGCAAGACGTTTAGGATAATAGTATTTTATTTTTCAGTATTTGAGAAGGTTTCGCTTTGAGAAGGTTTTGCACAAAGGGTTTTCGCGCAACATTTGAGTTGTTTGTTTGTTTGTTGAGCTGAAGAGCTTCTCATGTTGCACAATCACTTCTATTTATAGGGTTGGATTTCAAGATAATCAAGCTTGCCAAGGTAAAGTCTTGATAAGACTATGCCTTCTGGGCACCTACTTAGATATCCTTTGACATTATCTCTTCAGTCCCTTGTTTAACCAGAACTCAATCTCTATCTGGTCTCTTCAGTCCCTTTAGGATAACCTAAAACGTCATGAAAAGGTATTGTGATCATTATAAGGCAAAAGATATGCAAGTTTTTCGCTCAACGATGAGGATAGATGTCTAACCGCCGATAAACTGGCACTTTTGCAAGTGGCAACAACAAAAGCTGCACTTTTCCCTATTCCTTGAGAGATTACATGATACAGAGTTACGTACGGACATTTGTTATATATAAATATGCTTTAATTCCAAGAAAAACTCGTTTGATTTTCCTCACTTTCTTTTTCTTATTCTTTGTGGATCTCAAATGTAATAGTTGCCGTATGGTGCTATTGACATTTCGACCACGTTTATTTTTATTTGCTTCCCACTTCATGTCTCTATCCCTCTCCAAATGAACAATACGGCTGGTTTGTTTTTACAAAAGAGGAGTTATAAACATTTTACAAAAGAGGATTCGAATTGAAGACCTTTTCTAATATATATTATTAAATTAAAAATTAGTTACATGGTAATTAATCCAGCCGGGGTAAATCACTTCCTTATTAAATAAAAGATTTTAAGCTACATTTATATGGATTTTTTTCAAACAATACATGTAAAGGTGAGGATAACAAGTAGGAGTCGACTAGAGATTCTACATGCGCTTTTTGAAGAGAGAATCTTATTTTTCATAGAAAAATAGGGATTAGTTATGGGACTAATTCCATATTGAACTTTAACGATCCGAACTATTTATTTTGTAAGTCTCGATTTATAGATCTTCTTTGTGAAAATTCAATTCAATAAGAAACCATTTGCCTATTTAATTATCACGATGAAATTTCATTGTTTCTTATAGAACAAAGTGTTTGTCAAGTTCTTTGAACTCAATTCAATGTCTCAAATATTTACAATTTGGCTAATATTTTACAATAATGGTCTATGAGATGCAACTTGAAAACTGGACCATTTAGATAATTGAAATTCGATGTGGCGTGGACTCCACAACTAATCCCCATTTAGAAAAAAAAATGAAAATCTCTTCCCTTAATGAGCCCTCATTTGTGACAAAAAAAAAAAGTATACATATTAACTAAATCGGATTTTATTTGTGATTGTGAATACCATATATGACGTTTGAATTTACAATTCGTTTCATGCTTTCATTTTTTCTTTTTTTTTGCATTACCTAAGTGTAAAGTGTAAATATGACGTTGCATAGTTGGCGGGTGAAAGGCTGGTGAGGCTTCAACTTTTACGAAAAAGGACCTTATGCCTTCTGTGTGCAAGTCCAGCGTATCAAGGCTTCCTAGGGCAACTTCCTATTGAATTGCCTAAAGTGAACAGTAATTGTCTTTAATAAACAATAATTACTTTTTGTATCTCCACCTCTAACTAAATAGCCATGAGAATAGGCAATAAAATATTAGTATTTTTTATTTTATAAAATAATAAAAAATAATTTTATTTGTAATTTCGGATAGGATTTTTAATCGGTCTCATTGTACCACGTGTCATTAAATAAGAAATTACAACCTCAAGTATTTGAGAAATAATAAAATTCTGGTGTAAGTTGGAAGATAATGATAATATATTTATAGAAAAATTAAATCTTTTTTTTTTAAATTTTGAAATTTTTTTTCTGATTTTTTATTAATTTTTTACATTTTTAAAATTCTTTATTATTTTTTTTTACATTTTTTATTAATTTTTACATCAGCCTGATGTGACCATCCGGCCATCACCCCCGCTGGACTTGCTCTGAGAAGCACGCAAGTGTTTCCACTTTTCTTTCAATTGAATTTTGCTTAAGTTTCTCATGCGTTTTACACTTCTGTTTCCACCATCCAACGACAGCAATGGTGGGTTTCCAACAGCCTAGCTACCTCCATCGGAATGTACAATTATCAAAGAGATGATGTAAATTTTGGATTTGGATATAATACATACGTGTAATTAATACAATATATTTTATTTAATATATTCACATAAATTATATATGTAGTCAGATGAGATTGTATTACATGTAAGTATTGTAGTCGATCTCGTAAATATAACGATGATTGGAAATGTTAGCAAGTTAGCAATTTGATTTATTAATATTTTGGTGTTTTATATCTTAAATTATTTTAGTAGAATAACGATTATGATTCATTTCCTGTTTTTAACTCGGGTTCAAGATTACTTCCTAGTTTATTTATTGTTTTATATTTGTTTCATGATTACGTCTTCAGAAATACAGCCTTGTAATCTCGTATAAATTAAGTCTTGACAAGATCAAATTATGGTCTTCTTCTATATTTTATTTTTTATTCAATGGAATAAAATTCAAAATTTGTGATCAATTTTTATTCTTTTCTTGTCATCTGAATTTATCTTTGTGCTAAAAGGGTGCGTATGGCATTAAACGTGTGGAAAAGCGCAGGCCATATACCTCAATCAAATTAGAGTTGTGGGTGCCCCTAAGCCAAACTTCAGTTCCATTGGACAAGGAAGGAATGAATGAACGAACGCATGCCTTAAGAGGAGTTCGATCGCATCCACCGAACAAAAGATGAAAAGGGTTGGCCTAATTTGGTGGCAGCTTCTTACCAGATCAGATAAACGAGGTATATATATGGGGTTATATTATATGTATATCGCGGACTGGTTCATCTTTTTGTTTTGGAAGTGAACGATTTTGCAACTGGTTCATCTAATTTATACTAATGACGGCTCAGTGAAACCCTAGGTTTTTGTAGATCTGGGCTGAACAATTCAGATTTTTTATTGGGCTTGGCATGGGCTGAGGTACTATTAATCACATTATCGTGCTAAATCCCATTATCCAAAAAATGAAAAGGGAAATTTTATTTGGACCAACTATCCTATCTTTACACTCAATTAAAAATTTTTATCTACAAAACTTTCAAGTTTGCCCTTAAATAAATAAAAATAAGAAAATAAACATTGGTGTTTTTATCTCTACACCCAATAACTCAAAAAAAAAAAAAGCACATATTTGCACTCCTCCATTATTTCCCTCGAAACATACCCAAATGACAACAAAATATGCTCCTGAGTTCATCAACAAGTAAGCTTGCTAGAAACCTGTGTTGCAAGAAACCCTTAGTGGCCCTCATTTATAATTTTAGCGAAGAAAACTTTTTACCAATTCGTTGGACAT